GGTATGTGTCACGGGTTGGGTTTCACACAGAGAACAATGTATAAAATCCTAGTATGGGCCATCATTTATTTTAAATCCCAATATTATAGCAATCATTTAATACCACAAATATGAGGGAAATCATGTAATGACTTCTCCCACCTTCAGTGAGGCGAGGGGGAGAGTCAAGACTTTTCCTGAGCAAAAACCACCCCATTCATACTCTAATTAGAGCCGGAGCCCACGTTAGGTTGTCCGCAGCTCCAGACACATGGCAAATCCTGGCCCACAGTCCAGCAGTGAACAGTCACGGATGGATGGGTGATGATGATCACAAAAATGTTTCCTTAGTTGAAGTTAAATACAAACTACATATACTGAAGTAAAATTAAATTAACATTCTCCGTGTTCAAACAATTTTAATCGATACTGTGAAGGACTCAACAAAAGTGTTAATGAAAACAATGCATAATAAAGTTGAGGCCACAACGGACATTGTTTTGCACTCAACATTATTTATTCTTGAATAATAATATAATACTGTGTTGTGGTTAAAAATTTATTTAGTTCATAATATGATATGTATAGAGTAGCCATGTAGTGATGGTAGAGTAGAATACATGTTTATTACCAACACTACTTTTCCAGCAGATATCGTACCTGACTAAACGACTTCCAAATTGACTGAACCTCTGATAAATATAAACATTTTAAATTGCAAACTCAAGTCTCCTTGGCACTTGGCAAGACCAAGCAATAAGCATGGAAAGTATGTTATATGTTATTTAAAACTACTTTACACATTTAAATAGAATCTGTTAGTTAGTCATTATGTCAGTTACAAGTAAAGGGATTTACCTACTCATATTACCGTGAAACTTAATTTTTTGTTTCCTAACAAGGTCACCTCAGCTATCAGATTATTTTATTCAACACTCTAAAATTTGAGAATGGAAAGTAATATGATATTACATCTCAGTAGATACTACAATAAAACAAGGACAGTCTGTATGTTTGTCTCAGAATACAAAAAAAATAGAAAAGAGATTTAAACGGGCAGATTTATCAGACCTTTAAACTATCCCGGTCTGGAAAAATTGCCAGAATGAGCCTTAAGGTCTTATAGTGAAAGAATATTATATTTCTATGATAACATATAAACCCATTCACAATGTGCCAGAACTCTCAAAAATATTGTATTCAGTCTTTATTAAAATTAAGCTATTGTACTAGCATTGTGCTAATGGACAATTCCTTTTTAGTAGCCCATAAACAATTTAGTTTATGGGCCATTTAGTAAACCATACATTCACACATTGGTTTAAACTGTCAAACACCAAGCGGTCACCAGTGACCGCAACCTATTGTTCTATAATTGTGTCTACAAAACCGGTACTCGACGAGTTAAATTAAGCAAAATATTTTAAAAGGAATTTAATATACTTAGTTAATTAAACTTCAAAGACCACAAAGTTATCGCAGGTCACAATTTCAAACAATTGTTCTGAACGTCCGAAACTGGAATTCACACTCATTGTCTTAAAAATAAAAGAGGATTTATATCTTGTTTCCTCCTTAGTCATCATTTATATATTTTTTAAAATAAATGTTAATCAGACAGATTATTTGTGGTCTTTTTTGAACTCGGACAGTTAATAATAAAAAATATTACTTAACTAAGAGGAATGATTGAAATTTGTTTGAATGCAAACAAACATGGACGTTTGTTATAATTATAATAATAGACTCGGAAACTATTGGACTCAGCTTAGAGTTAGAAGCAAGAATAAACAGGATAAACATTTAAAATGGATATTTTGAAGTTGCAGATACAAGCCAGTAAATAAAAAATTCAAAATGAATTATTTAGTCCTACGTAATGAAAGAAAGTCTATCACAACAGTTATCTAAACGAGAAAACGGATAGAAACCATCGATATTTATTATCATTTATCTTCCTTTAATATTAACTTTCATAGTTAGATACAACAAGATAAAGATTTTAATAAAATAGTTCTTATCAATGATGAAACAACAATAAATATTTAACAATACCTAAACATGCTGAGCAAATATTATTTGTCTTATATTACTAACTCGCATCTGCATGCGACCTCATTTGCACAATCCCTTTTTTCTCATTCCCGTTCGTGAGTTTCGGTAAAAAGTAAAAAAACATATACATACATCAAACTCAGAAGCCTACACCTGGCAGCAGATACCTAATGATTAATCCCTGGACACACGGAATGTGAACTTATAACTAGACAAAACATAATTTCCGACACAATATTCATATTGTATTATCCAGTTAATGCAAAGTTATAGCATTAAAATTCATAAATATTTTACATTATATCTATGAATAAATTCAAATGAATATTATAAAAGTTAAATAGTAAAATAAGAAAGTAATTAGGTAAACTGCAATTTATGAATTATTTTAATGAATGTGAGAGTTTTAATTGCACAAACATGAAGTTATTTACCAAGTTAGGTATTTGATAATTAGACATTTTGTTTAGATATTGATTGTACAATTAGGTGGTAAGTAATAGTTATTTTGAAATTTATTCCATATTGTGTCTATGAATGACTTTCTTGCAGGTTTAATATGAAATTCTAATAATATTATAAGAATTTTAATTAGATTAATTAATTATTGGAATATTATTGACTTATTGTTTCGGGCTACTTTAATATTAATGGGTCATTCAAGAATTATTTTGGTAAAACATAACTGTTAAGATGGAAACATCAAATTATTTTTAATTTACCAAATTCGGATGTCCATTGCAGTTAGCAGTGCCATTTTCCATGTCCAGCAGTGGAGTTATAAAGTAATGAATGTCAAACTTATCGAAAGTTCACAAAAGATCGTTTGAAAACTAAGTGAAAGTCACCTATAAAATAATGAAGAAGAATCATGCCTAGGTATGATTAGATGCCTGATTAAACCCATTTATAAAACCCTCAGGTCACGGGCAAACATTTGAGTTGCCGCCAAAAGAATATTCTAAACGTTTCGAAATATTTTTGGCTCTATCACAAAACATACGTTAAAATCAATCTTCAAATATACTTACGCGAAATCTTGATATAATCAGACCCATTTTCTTGACTTTATCACTTCAAATATCAAGTCAGTTTATTAAATAACACTTTTAACTATTAACACAGCCTCGTTTTAGCCTTTTTAGAAGCTAAAAATAAGTTTGGCATAACCAGGTGATAGGTTGATGACGAATGTTTTATAACCTATAACGCCGATACGTGAACATTACAAAAATATAAAAGCTAATTGGCCGGCAGTTTGTTTAAATGTCAAATCACATATCCACTGGCTATTTTCGATTCAATATTATTTGCAAAATCCACCGCAAGAACTGCTGAACAAATAAAATTCAAGAAAAAAAAACATTTACTTTTAACAATCATCCACAGATACATTAAATCGCATTATGACGTTTGATGTTTTTTCTATTTTTCTGACATATAGCAAGTTGTTTTGCTTTGGAAGAGGTACTTTTTTTATTTAAATAAATATTATTAGAAATTACATAATTGATTTCTGCGCCATATAATAGTTATTATCAATAGTAATAATATTTATAACCTGCCTGAATGAGTCTTATAGGAATAACTGATATAAAAGATAAAATCCGATTTGACAGGTAAAATATAACAAACTTAGTTTCATCAGAATCGTAAACTATCGCTGAAACTTGAAAGTAAATAAATTACATAAAAAATCGATTTCATAAAATTGGATTTTTCTGTGTTCGTTTAGAAACGTTTTTTTTTTGGTAGGTTGGTAGTATTGGATCACTTTTGTTTCGTGTAGCAGAGCGAGATTAGTGATACCAGGTCGATTTTAGAGTAGCCATTAAAATTAACAAGAAAATTGTAATTTATTATTTTGTTCCTTTCAATAAGTTTATTAGGTATCTCAAGTTTAAACATTACACAATAAAAAATATTTTTTTTTATCTCGAAGAATAAAAGCTATGTTTCTCTTCGAATTAATCGTAAATATGAAGGCAACTACTTTTTATGGAGTTTCGTGTTTCTTAGCGTTTAATTTCGTCATGCGATTCGAAATTATGATATAAATAATAAATAAATAAAAATCTTTATTTACTAAAAACAAGCGAGTTACAAATATTTGATTTTAGGTATAGGCATACAATTACAGCTTACAATTTATAAAATCTCTGCCTCCCAATTTAGGTGATCCTGTATTTTGGGAGTCAATGTTCCTTCGTTGAGTGTTACAAAATTATGAATGCTTATAATGCTAATTATTTTTGTTTATCTTTTTTTAATAAAACGTTTTAATAAAAAAAATAAAAATAAAAATTATTCTCTCAAATACTGTGTTAAGTGACATAAAGATTTATGTATAGATATACCAACTTATCAATTTAAAAATGTGCTTAAATTTTTGGTTGGTTTGTTTTCTTTAACCATACTATGCAGTAGTAATATAATAATGTTATTGTGTTACTATGAAACGGGTAACTAGAAGCAAAATGGCAAAAACTGATATACAAACAATATTTGGACATAATGCTTTTTCCATACGCATAGCTATTTATTATTCCTGCAATAAAAATATTTTAAGACCCTAAATTACAATGCCTGATTAACTTCCAGTGTTTATTCTATTCTAATTTTCAATTATCTGTCTATCTCGTTGGACGAGAGGTCGCAAGTGCGACTGTTGAGTAAGGGATCTTGGGTTCGATTCCCGGGTCGTGTAAAGTATTAGGTACTGGGTTTTTTAAAAATACTCAGTAGAAGTATGGAGTCTGGAATTGTGTCCGGTATGCGGCAAAAGGCTCACAGCCATGTAATACTCATAACATAAACACTGAAAATTTGTGTTACATTGTACACTGGCATTTAGTGCCGTGATAAGCAATTTTGCTTACCCCTTCGCGGGTAAAAGGCGTGATGTTATGATTAATTTTCAGTACAAAAACAGCAAGTAAATAAAGAAGCACTATAAAACAAGTCCATAATCTTCTTAAAATACATTTTTATTTAATATATTTTAACAAGTCTTCCAATCAGATGTGTAGCAAGATAACTTCGTAACATCGGCCATTTCTTTCTCAGTCTGTTTTCCATCAGAGTCGACACAGCGGCACATACCTCTGCGACACTGTATCCTCCTAAAATTACCGTTCTTACAACAAATCGGCTTCTCAGGTAAATCTCCCATAATATTTGTAGTCTGTGCACATTCTGTAAAAAAAAAATATCGTTAAGCAAACTCATATGGTCTATGGTCAAATGCGCCGGTGGTTCCAATCCAAATGGTTAAAATTCAGTATAAATTCATCATCATCATCAACAGCCCATAAAAATCCAGTAGTCCACTGTAGTATGGGCCTCTTCTATAAAAGAGGGTTTAACCATAACCTCCACGGTCGGCAGGCGGATTGCAGTGTAAAAAGGTTTATCAGAGAATACCGAATCCCATCTCTGTTAAATATAATGTAGTCCCTTAGTCGACTTTTGACACCAGCGGGAACAGTGGGGGTGATAATAAACGTATTCTACTCTGCCGTCAGCCACAAGACTGCATGTATTTTTTTAACGATGGAAAATTATCGAATGACTGCTCCCGCCTGGGTGAGGCGGGAGGGAGTGTCAGACTCTTACTGGCTAAAAACCACCCCGTTCCTTCTCCTGCACGTCGAGCCGGAGCCCCGGTAACCCGTTAGGTTCTCCGCGAAGACTGCATTTATTTAAATCAATGTGTAAATAATAATCCTACTAGTTAATACTACAACGCCTCTCTGGCCTCGTTGGCCGAGCGGTCGCAAGTGCGACTGCCGAGCAAGGGGTCTCGGGTTCGATTCCCGGGTCGGGCAAAGTATTACTGGGATTTTTCAAAAATCTCAGTGGTAGCACGGAGTCTGGAATTGTGCCCGGTATATGGCAATAGGCTCACCCCCTATTACATGGGACTCATGACATAAATAGTGAAAAGTGGGTGTTACATTGTACAGTGGCATTAAGTGCCGTAATGTGCACCTCTGCCTACCCCTTCGGGGATATAAAGGCGTGATGTTATGTATTAATACTACAAATGTGAAAGTTTGTATGTTTGTCTGTTCGTCTATTCGTCTGTTCGTCTGTTTGTCTGTTTGTCTGTTTGTCTGTTTGTTTGTTTAGTAAGTCAAAACGGCTAAAGAAATCGGGATGAAATTTGAAACAGGGCAAGGTTATGGTCTTTTTTTTGTAAGGGGGGAAAATCATCGAATGACTGCTCCCGCCTTAGTGTCAGACTTATACTGAATAAAAACCACCCCGTTCCTTCTCCTGCACGTCGAGCCGGAGCCCCGGTCACCCGTTAGGTTCTCCGCGACTCCAAATCGGCATCAGCCTTATTGGGCCCCATCTGTGGTGGTCTGATGGCTCTTTGAGGCGCGCGCGGAACGCGACGCGCCGTACGCTCGGTTATGGTCGGTTAAGGTTATGGTCTGGAAAAGCTATGTTTTATCCACAGGGAAAGCTGCGGGCAAAGCCGCTGGCTGAAGCAAGTTTGGGGGTTTGCGTGTCGTAAATAATAGTATAATAAAACTTACTACAGTCCATATTATTAAAGGAGGCGGGATCAGTTTTCCTGTCAGCATGGTAGTTCTCAATTTGTCTTCCGCGTTCGTCTATGCAGACTTTCCTGTGAACGACAAAATGTCATCATTACATCCCGCCTTTTATTCTTCAAAGGGTTACAGGCACACGTTAGAATCTATACTAATATTAATAGGTAATTTTGAACCTCTGAAATTTTTGTATGAAAAAAATATACTATTTTATTATGTATTTTTTAATTTGTAATTAATCGAAGTATCACCCATGCAATCACCCATGCATCTTTGTCAACGCTCCGACATGGCTCGGCATCGATATCCATGATGACGAAAAATATTAAAGTGCAATAAAAATGTTACAAATCAATAAATACTTAGATGACTAATTTTGGAACAAAAATCTAAGTTTTTATAATAAAACTAGTTGACCCGGCAAACGTTGTTTTGCCATATAAATAATTTCGTAGAAGGGTGAAAATTGAGGATTGTATGTAACTATTTTTGTATGTTGTATCATAAAAAATAGAAATTAAATATTTTGTATAAAAAATAAAAAAAAAATAGGGGTCGACTACCCCTAACATTTAAGGGGATGAAAAATAGATGTTGGCCGATTCTCATAGATACCGGATAAGCACAAAAAATTTCTTAAAAATGGGTCAATCCGTTTTGGAGGAGTATGGCAATTAAAACTGTGGCACGAGAATTTTATATATTAGATAATTTGATTTAAAATCACCAGTACTGCAGAACGACAATTTCATAGATAAAGACCTAATATAAGTTAAAGACTTTGTCCACTAATCTCCAGGAATAACTACTGGTTTGAATTGAATAATTATTTCTGTATTGGATAGTCCATTTGTCGAGGCACTACGGCCAATTGAACCGCGCAGCTGGTGATTCCGCGCGAGAGCAGATCAAATATTGTAATATTGTATGCTGCGCGGCAATCGTAAGTACATTGTTTTTATAATAACTATCGTGGGACATACTAAATTAAGTAAAATCGCGGGTTACTCACGTGAATATACTGAGAAAAGCTCTACTAGTTTCGAACCACAGAGGGGTTCTTCCTCATGAGCAGCGTGCGCGACGTCGCCGCGATCCTATTCACGTGAGTAACCCGCGATTTTACTTAATTTAATCGTAAGTACACCTTAGGACGCGACCAACGAATACAATACAGGCTGATGGTGATGATGACGATGATGATCATGCAATTAAACATCATAAACTTACTGTCCAGCACTATTCACTGCGATTCTTCCATAAGTCCAGTCTGGAAGACATTCAGGGAAGCCTCCGAAATAGTCAAGGTCAAATTCATCCTCTTCTGAATCGAGGATTTCCTCCGCGATCCGCTCTTGATTTAACAGACATGGTGATTGGAAGGTCGACGGGTGTTCCTGGTCGAACTCCGCAAACAAGTCTAAGTCCTTGTCATCTAAAAAACAGTCCATACGTTAATATCCAGAGAGAACCAGAGTTTATATTTCCTGAAGTGTATAACCTGGGTGGTCTTCAAGGCCAGAGTGAAGAAATTGCTTATGGGGAGACGTGCTCCATAGTAGGCCACATCATACCACCAGGCGATATAGTGGGCTAGCATCGGCCCATCAAATATAGTAAATAAAATATATTTAGAGGTATATTAGACTAGCACATTAATAAAATGTCATCATCGTCTTTATCAATAGTTGTGAACCATGGTCCTCCTCTAAGAGATTTTTACAGTCTACACGCTTGCAGGCGAGTTGAAGATCGCATTTCAAAATAATCAGACTTATAAGAGAGCGCTGCTACCCGGGCTCTGTTAATTGTGAAGTACCTTAATGGTGTCTTACGAAATGTAACTCGCTAGACGATTAGTATCGGTGTTGAAAAAATATTTATTCTGCTCTGATGGCTAAGGGAAAACGGTTATAAATGAAAACGGTTATAATCTAATTTATTTTACGAAAACCTCATTCGCGTAGAATAATCTTTTCCGGTTAGGATTCAGTGGATACAACCATGAAAACATCAGAACACTAAAGTCCGGCGCGTCCCAGGGACATAAATAACTGTCTTGGATCCCGCATCGAAATAAACCAGAAGATATTAATTATCAGTGGAGAAGAAAAAACAACTCTCCCGGTTGATGATGGCGATTACTTACAGCAAGGCAGTTGAGTAATGCTCTGTCTCTCCAGGTCGATAGTAGGGCTGTCTTTTTCGATGATTCCTGTGACTTTATCAACGCAATAGCAAATATTATTGATGCACCGAATTGGGAAGAAGTTGCCGTCTGTAGTGCAGCGTGGACCCACAACCGGGGCTGGCACACTTTTGCCGATTATTGACCTCATAAGATCGTGGAATCGGGAGCATCCTGTGAAGATGATATGGTGTTAGCTCATGAATTAGGCTATGGACAAGTTTGAAGAATTCATTATGCTACTTTTTTGTAATACATATTTTATTGCAAATTATAATAATTAAATTACAATAATTTGCAATGCAATCGTTCATATTTCCTCTACTTATTCGTTAAGGAGGTTGCTTCGAGATAGCCAGGGAAATTTATTTTTTTTGTAATTTACTGCTCGACATTCTAGTACGAATTTACACAACTTTATAAATACTTATAACTTGATAAAATCATCAACATAATAACTTAGTAATTTGGACAAGGTTTTAAATGATACATTTTAGTAAAATCTTGACAGTGTACGCTTAAATAAGCAGGCAGTTTCTGGACAGACAAACAAAAAACCGGACTGGATCAAGGGCCTTAAAAAAAGGCGAACACAATGTCACTTAGAAATTATTAAAGCACCAAAATGTCAGTGGGCTATTAATGTGTTCGAGTGCAATAAATTATTACGTTACCAGACTTAAGAAAATGACAGATGTCCTTCGTGTCAATGTGTGTATGTTTTGCGTGTAAGTCTATAGTAGCCAGGTACCACAGTCGTTGTTTCAAGAGACTGTGTCCGCCTTCTTTTCAAAGTCTTTGGTTTCTATATCATTTATGATTTATTTTGTTTTTAAAACATAGTTATGTATAATAGGATCTACTGACCGCAGTGCATACTCTTCTCTGTAATTACTCCAAGATTTAGCACTTCACCAAACAGTCTTCTACCATCATCTGACTGACAGAAGCAACTGTAACAGAAATCAAAAGGAATTAAAATCATGATCTTAATTTCGGAGGATCCATGACTATAGATAGTAATAGATACATAGGTCCATAGAGAACCCAATCCCCCCCAATCCTCAAATTCAATACCCAATTCCAATCTAATTTTTGGGGGAGCTGGGAATTATGCAATAACTTCTCTCGCATTGGATGAAGCGACAGGAAGTGTCAGACTCTTGTCCAACTAAAAAACCACCCTGTTTCTACTCCAACTAAGTCGTCCGCAGCTCAACCTTCATTCTTCAATCATCAATCCTGTCCTCAATCATCAATCCTCAATTCCCAATCCCCAAATACTTTGTTTCTTCAATACATAGTATAAAACAAAGTCGCTTTCGGTGTATGTCCGTATGTATGCTTAGATCTTTAAAACTACGCAACGGATTTTGATGCGGTTTTTTTTAATAGATAGAGTGATTCTTAAGGAAGGTTTATATCATGCATATTGCACCCGTGTGAAGCCGGGGCGGGTCGCTAGTTATCTATAAATCTATATGCTTACTCACGTTTGTGCTGGAACACACTCGAACTTGTAAAACTTGCCCTTCCCGTCACAGCGCGGCCTCGCTTCCATAGCTCCTAGCTCCCCATTGCGCTCTCGCTCATCATATTTATCTTGTGCAGTATGGCAATCTGATTTCACTGGAAAGTATAACAAAGAAATGAATGAGCTATTTGTATTCTATTTAAAACGTTAATGACTAGTAGAACAGCCCATGACAATGCTAAATTATGCGCCTCCTCTATATATACGAAGGTTTGCCAAAATCTCCAAGCTTGATAGGTTGGAGACCCGAGACCGCAGGTTTATTAAAAGAAGCTCCTGTCCAGGATGCTTACTCTTGAAACCAATGTCAATGTCAATGCAATTTCAATCCAATAAAATCTCAATAATTATTCAATGTCAAAACTATACAACCCCTCTCTACGCTGTTAAAATAGCATTCAGAGTACGGAATATAAAGTCCAACTTAATACCATTTAGTTCATTCAATATCCACGCAATACGGATGCAATGGGCGCTAGTGTTGTAATTCAAGAGTACGAAATTTCACAATACCAATGTCGATCGATCGGAATTGGATTCAAGAGTAAGCCCCCTGGTCTTTGTTAAATGTGTGTGTTCAGGTTAATCGGGTCTTCCGACTCCTCCCCCCTTCTAGTGACAAATATTATTATATCCTATCTTACTGATACCACACAGGCTTACAACTGACCGTCAATTTTTGGTTACTGTGACATGTATGTATTAACATCACTACTATCGTAAGATATGCCCCCCTCACTACACTGTAGTATGAACAGAATGTCTATCTGTCACATTCTGGTGTGTGCACACGTCGTGCGCTGAACTGCGCTGTGCACATTATGTTAATAAATTCAAGAAAAACCAATCCGAGTATAATTTACCAATCCGACAACATAACAGTTAACATGCACCTGTGCCAAGCCTTATCATGATCATCATCATCACTCCATTACCGTCCACTGCTACGCATTAAACCGATGTCAGCCACCGTGCGAATATTGTCACTCCACCTAGCTCGACAGTACCATACACTACGTTTGCCTAGACGCCAATATTCACTCCACTCTAGAACAGGTCTACGCGTCTACCCCAAAGGGCATTGGTTCATCGACAAACGTAACGAAGCATATGCAGATCAAAATCAGATTTTTTGAAAGACACTAGATCAGATTGAGTTTAATATCCACCAGATCTCATGAAGAGGAACTTACTTCTCACGCAGACATCGTCTTCTTCTCCCTGCTGGCAGTACAGTCCATCTCCACATCTGCCGACCGTGGTGCCTGTACCTGGTCCTCCTCTGGAGCAATGTTCTCCTTCTCCTGGAAGTTGACACGAAATACAGAATGTAGACCATCATTCATAATATTTATTCACATAACATAACATTAAATCACGCCTTTTATCCCCGAAGGGATAGGCAGAGTTGCACATTATGGCACTTAATGCCTCTGTACAATGTAACATCCACTTTTCACTATGAATGTTATGAGTCACCTCCTATTGGGGGTGAGCCTATTGCCATATACCGGGCACAATTCCTATTATAATTTGCTCGACCTGGGAATCGAACCCGAGACCCCTTGCCCAGCAGTCGCACTTCCGACCACTCGGCCATCGAGGCAGTCATTTAAATTTTATATTTTCGTTCACTCTCTTTCCTTTTTTGTTGATAGTATTTAGTTTGCTCCATCACTTTTGCAGAGCCGTCGTCAAATTTTTATATTAGTAGGCCGACGTAGTCTGCCCGCAAAATTTTTGATACAATTTAATGGACTACATGTATTTGGAACTCTGTGTATGTGACCTTGTATGTGGAGCAAAGTTTTTTTTTAAACAGCTCTCATTTACCAGACAAAATAAAGAATAACTTACGTTTCTACTTCATGGTGGTATTCTGTGAGAGAGAGGTACTTTCCTGGCCCATTCAAGTTGCATATAGCAGAGCTAGACACATCAAGGCTTGACTTAGCTGTTCATAGGTCAAAATTAAGAGTATCCCTATCCAATATCTGTTAAGATCTATTTTTGACATTAATTGTATGCAGTTTCTGTCAGAAACAGATAGCGATCCAGCGATTTTGGATTAAGATCATAACATCATGCCTTTTATCGCCGAAGGTGTAAGCAGTAGTGCATAATACGGCCCTTAATGCCACTGCCCAATGTAACACCCGATTTTCGTGTGGGTGAGTCTGTTGCTATTGGATTAAGATCAATTACATAATTTCTATCGTTGGGCTTTACCTTGGACAAAACTTCAAAAACAGTGTCTTTCTCTCATCACCATAAGACATATAAGATCCCCTGTGTCGTGGTGGCCAGTAGGTTTAAGACGCCCGCTTCTCATGCATGAGGGTGCGGGTTCGAAACCTGCCAACGACAAGTACCAATGTGACTATTTCCGAGTTATATGTACTTTCAAAGATTATTCAGACACCACTGACAAACGGTAAAGGAAATACATCGTGAGGAAACCTGGACTTATAATTTCTAATTATAAGTTTGAAATCGCCAACCCGCATTGAGCAAGCGTGGTGATTAATGTTCAAACCTTCTCCATTTGAGAAGAGGCTTTGCTCAGCAGTGGGCATTTATAGGCTGTTGATGATGATGATGATGATGAAGATCCCCTAAATTTAAATATCAACTAATTTAAATATTCCAGGTCATACATTACCATATAACGGCATGCAATAATCGCAGCAGTTGCAAACAGTAGGTGAAAGGAGGTTGATTCCCTGGTGGGTCGCATTGTTGACTGTGCAGTGTATCGGAGGTGTAGTGCAGCCTGTCTCGTGGAGGTACGTCTGAGGGGATGAGGGTTAATTCACTTTCTTTATGTGATTAATGAAGACAGGAGTTGTGCAGGTGCGACTCATGGAGCTGGTTTGTTCTCAGAGGCTTAACATTGCTGACAGTCCATATAAGTATTTTACATAACATAACATAACATCACGTCGTTTTATCCTCGAAGGGGTAGGCAAAGGTGCACATTCCGGCACCTAATGCCACTGGACAATGTAACACCCACTTTTCACTATTTATGTTATGCCATCACTATTGCCATATACCGGGCACAATTACAGACTTCCTTGCTACCACTGAGATTTTTTTAAAACCCAGTAGTAGGTACTTTTCCCGACCCGGGAATTGAACCCGAGACCCCTTGCACGGCAGTCGCACTTGCGACCACTCGGCCAACGAGGCAGTATATGTATTTTATTAAAACATAAACACTTGAAAATCAGACAATTAAACGAACAAAGACACTATAGAAAGACCTTCTCACTAAAGGTAAATTTTTGATGGACTCAATTTTTAATAGGTACTGAGATTATCACGTCAGATTAAAATATATACATATACCTAAACGAGTTACTAAAAACTACTAAATTGAGAAAAGCCTTTTAAAAAAGGCCTACTAAACAGCTGTCTATAGTAAATCAGCCATTAGCATTTCTTTTGGTTTTTCTCGAATCATTGCTAAATTATCGCCACGAAAACAAATACTTATAATCATTGCTAAATTATCGCCATGAAAACAAATATATTTATAATTATGTATAAGTGGGTAAAGAAGCATATTTAAAACGGTACATTCCTTTAATAGTTGCGATCCTAAAATAGAGAAATGTGCCTACAATTCAGACATACAGCCCTCTTCAAACACTATTACAATTAAGAAACAACAAACACATAATTTCGTCACCTGTCGCAATGCCTAAACAATCATACCTAATTTGATAAGAAAAATCTTCAAATTAATATAATTTAAATACAAACTTACCCTACAGAATCCAACTTCACATAAAATAGTAGAATCGTTATAAACAAAACAGAATAAAGAAAACAAAAAACAAATGGACAATTTGAAGGAAGCCGCCATCTTGAAAATTGTTAAAGGCGCACTGATTTTGTGAGCGTCAACTAATGTTATCTATATCGATATTTATTAATTTAATCGTATCGATAATAATCAAGGAGTCATCGGAAATGATGACTGAATTGATTAATTTGCTGTGGAATGTTATATTTCTGCGATTAGTAGTACGCAAATATATATTATCCTGTTTCAAAGAAAATATGGCTATAGGTGTCTCATGATTTTTATGGGACTCATAACATGGCTGTTGAAGAGTTGGTATTACGCCTTTGGAAAAGCTGCATTATTGCGTTAGCATAGGGCATTCATTCAAGATAAAACTAAGGGTTCATTCAAGGCCTTTCCAATAAAAATATTTGATTGTATGATCTTGTTCTGGCGCTTTGGCATAAGGTCTCCTTTGTACATGGGCATGAGATGGGTAAAGTATTAGGGAGGTATTCCTCTAGAGCCTAATAGCACGGATTCTGGAATTATATTCAATGTCGAACAATAGACCCTTATTACATAGAACTTAAGTATAGGAGAGCCATGCTTCGGCACGAATGCCCATTCGTGTGATATCACGGCCTCACAGAAGACCGAGGTAAAACAATACTTGCGTTATGTTTCGTCGTGAGAGTGAGGTTACTGGAGGCACAACTGCCCTCCCTAATCTCCCCAAACCCCGAATCCCCAATAATCCTCAAATTCCTAGTACCCAAAAGCCCGGTAACGCACATCTCTGATATTTCGGGTGTCCATGGGCGGCGGTGATTACTTATCATCAGGTGATCCGTCTGCTCGTTTACCGGCTTATCTAGTATAACTTATCTAGTATAACTGGTGAAAATTGGTAGATAACTGGTTATATTGAAGCAGTAACTATTATGTGCACGTACATCGCCATCAACAGTCTAGAGGTGACCACTGCTGAACAAAGCCTCTGGTCACACGGAGATTCGGGGTCGCGGAGAACCTAACGGGTAACCGGGGCTCCGGCTCGACGTGCAGGAGAAGGAACGGGGTGGTTTTTAGTTAGTAAGAGTCTGACACTCACTCCCGCCTCACCCAGGCGGGAGCAGTCATTCGATGATTTTCCCACCTTAAAAAAAAAGTCACACGGAGAAGGTTTGAGCATTAATCACTACGCTTGTCACTTTCAAACTTGCTACGTCAATTTCAAACTTTGTCAAACCATTGCAACGGTTTTGTGGGGCTTAGATAGATTATAAAATAAATAATAATAATAAGTTGTAATTAGAAATTATAAGCCCAGGTTTCCTCACGATGTTTTCCTTCACCGTTTGTTAGTGGTGTCTAAATAATTTTAGAAAGTACATAATAACTCAGAAAATGTCACATCGGTACTTGCCGTTGGCGCCCGTTGGTAGGTTTGAACCCGCACCCTATGCATGCGAAGCGGCCGTCTTTACCTCCGGGCCGACACGTAGCCACAATACGTGTGCACGCACACCTAAGTCTACCCTCTCGGAGATTAAAAAACACAGCATGATGTTTGCAATGTAGGTATATTATATTTCCATATTATTAGGTGATTTTGAGTTTCTTCTGAATTTCAATCATAATTGAAGGTAATTTAAATCTAATCAAAAGCTTATATCATGATCATGGCAGCTACAAGACTCTTGCTTGATATAGGCCTCCTCAGTTGACTTGCAGATCGGCCAGTTGGCAGTCACCTGCATTTAGCGGCTCCAGTCAACCTTTTTTTACAGCTATGATTGCATGGTTGGTGCAGTGGCTGGCCAACTGGCTGCCGTGTAACGTGTTGCGGTTTCCATTCCCGCACGTAACAATCTTTTGTGTTATCCACAGATTGCTGGGTCTGAGTGTCATGTGCATGTGAACCTGTATGTTTGTAAACGCACCCTTCACACAGGATCAAATCCTAGTGTGGGACAACGCTTTTTTTAAAGAAAAGCTAAGGAAAAGATATCACATAACATAACATAACATCACGCAGAAGTGACACCCAATTTTCACTATTTACGTTACGAGTCCCATGTAATAGGAGATGAGCCTATTGCCATATACCGGGCACATTTCCAGACTCCGTGCTACTACTGAGATTTTTTTAAAAACCCAGTAATGCTTTTCCAGATCCGGGAATCGAACCCGAGACCCCTAGCCCGGCAGTCGCACTTGCGACCACTCGGCCAACGAGGCAGTCAACCTTTATGTGATCCATAAATCTTTTGCTGGGTTGAGCGTAGTATGGTATGTTACCTATAAATCAAACGTATGCCACACTACACTCCATGCCACAGAAAAACATACATAGACGCAACACAGTCTCAACAATTTAATTCGCGCTTAAGTAGGTATAGTTCTGTCACTATAAATTCTATGTAAAATGACAGTGATGGCACGATATTTAAGAACAACTTGAAATTGAGTACAGGTAACGAGGAATAGACAACACTCATTATACGTCCAGGAAACTATTCCCAGAGTTTCTTCGTTTGATGACATGGTTATCAGACGCTAGAGTAGCAGCATATATTCAAAATTTCTGAATTTCTGTGCGCTTCTCTCGTAGCGTTCTGCCTCGCACAGCAAAACTGTGGAATGATCTGTCGCCAGCGATATTTCCGAACCGATACGACCTTCAAACCTTCAAGAAAAGAGCGTATTCCTATTTAAAAGGAATACGGTAACGCTCTGTGTCTCCTCTGGTGTTGCGGGTGTACATGGGCGGCGCTGATTGCTTACCATCAGGTGGCTTCAACAAGTAACATTGGGTAAAACATTTCTAATATGATTCATTTGATGGATTGTAGGAGTATCATCTAAATCACCTTAAAATGGTAGACGGACCGTCTGCTCGTTTGCCTCCTATACCATAAAGAAATTGCTTATGGGTTGCCTATGGGACGATGTGATCCACCGTAGACCGCATCATGGCTCACCACCAGGCGTGATCGTGGTCAACCATCGGCCATCAAATATAAATCACTTCATCCATAAGTTATAATTGCATAGAAATATGAAGAACTTTGCATTATTGTGAACATTGAGGTAGTAAGTGGGGGTGAACTGGTGAAAAATAAGCCTCGAAGATGATGTCTTTAACACCGCCTCGTTAGTCAAATAGTCACAAATATACTACTGAGCAAGAAGTTTCGGTTGGATACCCGGGTCAGACTTTATTAGGTTCCTCGAAAAGATCACTGTAACTAGTAGTACGGAATCTGAAAGTACCTACTTCCCATAAAGACTGTTCCTCTTTTACATGGTATTAATAATATAACCGCCTGCGGACTGCCTCGTTGGTTGAGTGGTCGCAAGTGCGACTGCTGGGCAAGAAGTTTCGGGTTCAATTCCCTGGTCGCACAAAATAATACTGGGTTTTAAAAAAAATCTTAGTAGTTGAACGGAGTCTGGAATTGTGCCCAGTATATGGCAATAGACTCACCTCCTATTCCATGGGTGGGGCTCATAACATAAATAGTGAAAAGTAGATGTTGTATTGTACAGGTGGCATTAAGTATCGTAATGTGCACCTCTGCTTACCCCTTCAGCGATGTTATGATGATTATGATAATAACATAACTAGTCAAAAGTGAGTGTTCATATGTATAGATAAATGCTACATCTTCAGAAATAAAAAGATGTCTTATTCCCTTATTATAAAATTCCATTTCATTCACAAGAACACGCGTAACATATTACACTTAAAATCTAAACTCCACAAGTCGACCTCATTCCACAGAACAGGTGACTTGTATGTTTTATATTATCAGTTATCACACACACTTATCATTGATAAGTGCAAGAATGTTCTGAGCACACATTTTAGACGAAATGTTTGGTATAGGATCATTTTTATAGAGGCAGCGAAGATTAAGTATTTAGGTTAGATAATTTTACAAAACAATGACGATGATATTGTGGTGTTTAATGAGTTTAGGTACTAGTTTTAATGAATTTAAAAAAAATTCTCAGTAGTAGCACGGAGTCTGGAATTTTACCCGGTATATATGGTAACAGGCGCACCCCCTATTACAAGGGAATCTATATAAATAGTTCAAAGTGGATGTTACATTGTACAGTGGCATTAAGTGCCGTAATGTGCATCTCTGTCTACACCTTCGAGGATAAAAGGCGTGATGTTATGATGTACCGAGCCGTATTCTGCCGTATGTACCACCAACCGCCGGCTTTTGTCAACACCAACCCATAACAGTCCACTGATAAAACTACAAGTCTTCTGTACCTAAGAAGGTTGAAATTTAAGTCCTAAACTTCTTGCACACGCTTTGCTACGCTCCAACCTATCGCAGTTTAAAGGATGCGCGTTTACCAGTGGTGCTATCTGGTCTCAGTCAAATGTGTAGTCACTTCAGTCGAAACCAATAACCAAATCTTAGACCAAAATTTGTTAATTGATCTTTTTTTAATGGAATAGTGGACAAACGAGCAGACGGATCACCTGATGGTAAGCGATCAGCGCCGCCCATGGACACTCCCAACACCAGAGGAATCACAGGTGCGTTGCCGGCCTTTTAAAAAGGAATACGCTCTTTTCTTGATGGTTTGAAGGTCGTATGAGTTCGGAAATACCGCCGACGACAGATCATTCCACATTTTTGCTGTGCGAGGCAGAACGCTACGAGAGAAGCGCACAGAAATTCAGAAATTTTATATATATGCTCCTACTCTGGCGTCTGATAACCATGTCATCAAAAGAAGAAACTCTGGGAATAGTTTCCTGGGCGTATATTGAGTGTTGACAACTTTTCGTGTAGGTCGTATCGGTTCGGAAATACCGCCCACGACAGATCATTCCAAAGTTTTGCTGTGCGAGGCAGAAAACTGGCAGGTATACTTACATTTTTGAAAGAAATTCAATACAATCGGTCGATTTGGGATTGAGATCAATTATTAATTTGGGCAGTGAATCGGTCCCTACGACACCCTTTATTACTACGATTTGTCATCACAATTACACAACTTCTATTGAGATTTGGTAATATTTCAATAAAAGCACTTGTCAGAATTCGTATAAATCACGATATTTATTTAAACGCAACGTCATTACAAAACGAACATAGGCAAA